GCTATGAGAGAGAGAGAGAGAGAGAGAGAGAGAGAGAGAGAGAGAGAGAGAAGGCAAGCCAAGCTTTAAACTGAATTAAATCACCGCTCCGCCATGGCGACAGTGATTAAATGGAGTTTCCCTCCACACTTGCTGCTATCTGGGTGGTTACTTGCCCACCCAGGGGTTGGGTACTTGCCTTTGGCCCCCAAGCCCAGTCCTTGCTGGACAGAATAGACAGCCGAGGGTGAGCAGACTGAGAAATCAATTTATCTATGCTGTAAGCCGTCCAGAGACGTAAGTAATTGGACGGCATACAAATTTAACAAATAAATAAATACGTCAGTGCCCCAATCTCTCCCCCTCCTGCCCCCCCACCCCGCCCTGTGGCAAAACCAATTGCTGCCAAAAGCCGCTGCCAGGCTAAGTCCCAGCAGGAGGGCTAGAAAGGGAAGGAAGGATCCCTGGATCTGGATCACAAGTAGGGGGCGCTGGGACCACTGTTCTCTGCTCCAGGAGAGCCTTTCCTGCAAAGGGGGACGCGCAAGCCTCTCTAGTGTGCACGAATGTGTGGAATGTGCGTGCGTTGAAACAGCCAGAGTTTTCTGCAGGTGAGTGGCTACACAGAGGCCAAAAGAAGGGGGACACGCTCTGGAGACCAGAAATAGAGCCAGCGCTCCCTGACTTGATGCCGTCGACGTGTCTCCGGCCAGCGACCGTATCGTTCCCCACTGGCCACACCATGGGATGTCTTGGGCGCATTCGTCCCGTTCCTTTTCTAAAGCCATCCAAGTTGCTGTCGTTACCTGGGGTGGCAGCAATTCCCGTACACTAATTTCACCTTGTGTGAAGAAGTACTTCCTTTGGCTTTCCTCAGTGTACAATTGCTTATTAGGTGAGTCCAAATGCTAGTATAATGAAAGGGGGAATGGGGAAAACCCATAATAACAAACCCAGAGGTCATTTGCTTGCCCAAGCACGTTTTGCTTTGGAGTGGCACTTTTATCTGAGCTGGGACTGAACTCTTTGAAACCTTCTCTTCTTATTTCACCTTTGGAGCATAGGAAGTAATTAAAAACGCCCGGGACACCTTTGAGCTTGTGCAGAGTACATCTGTGTCTCCCCAGTATATCTGGCATTAAGGCACAATCAACTCTGGTCCTGTTTTGCCAAAGCTGATTGATTTTCATGTAAACATATTACAAAGTAGGCCGTTGGGCCACCCAGCCGAGCAGGCAAGAAGCTTCAAGGGGGAAGCAGCCTGCAGCCCAGGGCTGCTACGAGGGTGGACTCGACACACACAGACACACTATTTTGCCTGGAGTGCCTTGGAAGATCAAAAGCCAAAAGACCTCGGAGGAGATCCAAGTGGAGATACGGCCCTCTTTGCTGAGTGCCAAGAAGGAAGCAAGAAAGCCAGACCATTCTCCGTATGCTCAGCACGGAGGGGCCTGTGCCATTTGTGCTTCGTTTTGCACCCCGCCTAGTAACTCGGCCACATTTATGGCCTTGTCTGAATCGTCTGCACCAAACACAGGGCAGCAGCATCTTACCGGCCCCTGCACCTCTGCCTTCGCTGGGGTCTGGTCTTGGAACATTAGCAGACAGCCGCCTTTGGCTCTCGCGCAGTAAACAGCTCAGCTTGCAACCTCTGCAGATGACGCTGCTGCTAAAGCCACAAAACCAACTGGGCCGGTCCATTTTTATTCCCCTGGTCCATCAGCAACCCTGATCCAAAGGAAGTTGTTCGTTGGTACCTGAGCAAACGCACGGAGGGTGGCGACCCAGAGCTGCCCTGGAGTGCGAAACGGTGGCTTGCAACTTTCTGGCCTGTGGGAGGTCCTGAGCCAGCTGCCAGCTCCCCGCTGGCCACGTCCCCCCTGGAGATCAGGGATTTCCCCTCCTCCCTCCCAACCTGCCAGGAAGCCTTAAAAAAATTCCATGAGGGGATTTTGGGGGGGAGGGGTCAGTGCTGCAGAGGTGAAGCTTAACCCTCCCCTTCCCAACATTGTCCCCTCTCTCT